TGCACGATGCAGGGAGGGGTTTGGTTTGGTGGTTGAGGAGTCCGACCGTAGTGACCCCACGTACAACAGAAAGAAACCTCACCCGGCCCTGCGCCACCCTCACAGTGGCTCTATGTCTGGGCCCTCTGTCCCAGCCACCGTGCCCGTCCGTCTCACACATAGAGGGATATACCCCGATGGCAAGGCTGGGAGATTCACGCGCTGAAAGCTGTCACAGCGACCCTGACAGACAACAAGCAAACAGGGCTTCCCCTGCGGTCTCCGGGTCTGCTTTGGCCAAGTGTCTGAAGCCGTCCACTGGGCCTTTCTTGCTAGTCCATCACGGCCGGGAAGCTCGGCTGAAGGCTGTCCTCCATGAGTGACCCTGCTGGTGTTTGAATCGTGGTGGTGTAGCTTCCAGGCTCACAGCCTCCACAGCTGGACACCCTGACCACAGGCGGGGGAGCTACCGTGGGATTGGGTACAGCTCTCTAAAGGTCTGGGTTCTGTGTGGGTAAACGGGCAGGCATCTCTTTCACTGCGCCCCTGCTTGGCTCACGGACATAGACACATGATCGGGAGGGGCCAGTGCCCGGAGAAGGACATCGTAAGTGGTAACGTAGAGAGTCAGTCAAAGAGAAGGAGGTGCCCATCTAGACGGGTGGGCGCAGTGGTTGCAACAGTGGAGGCAACCGTGCTAATGATTATCCAGCAGGTGCAGAACCGGGCAGTGCTTTGTCCTCTTGTACTGTGGGGCCACTGTGGGTTGGGGCCCTAGGACCACGAGGCTCTCTGGAACTTAGCATCGCTGTGAGCACACGCAGACCCATGCCAGCCAGCCAACCACTGCCATCGAGTGGACTCCGTCGCCAAGCAACAACTTCAGCCCCGCCTCCCTCCCTTCTAGTTAAGGAGAGAGACCCTCTTGTCTCAGGGGAGGGCCCTATCCTGCAAGGAAGGAGCCCTGGTGGCATGGTGGTTAAGCATTGGGCTGCTAATCACAAGGTCAGCAGTTCGAAACCACCTGCTGCTCCGCGGGAGAAAGACAAAGGCTTGACCCCCGGAAGCAGTCCCACCCTGTACTATAGGGTCGCCGCGAGTCAGAATGGGCTCGATGTCAGGGCCCTGGTTTGGTGTCCTGCATGAAGACCCTGCCTCAGGTCGCAGACCTAAAACCCCCTACACGGACTCGCAGCGCGCTTCAGAGAAAGACGTGCCCCGAAGGGGTCTAGTCTGTCCTCGGAGCAGGCCCCGGAAGAATAGAACAGTAGTTGTGAGCTGTGTGCCGGCAGCGGGTGGTGGACGTTGTGCAGCCACAGCATCCCGGAGCCGGTTTCCTTCCTTCCCCTCTCCGTGGCCTGGGTTTCTGGAGGGAGGCATGGCTTGCTGCCCGTGCTGACGGCCAGGGGCAGAGAGCAGACTGGTCAAAGCTGGCGTGCAGTGGGAGAGACACAGGGGTGGGAGGGCGGCCTTCCCGTCTCTGGGTGAACCTTCCCGGACATCCCTGCCTCCAGGAAATGTCCCCTGACCCCTGCAATGTGATTGTCACAGGAGGGTGCTGTGGAAATCCGTCCGGTCCCTGAGTGTCCCAAGGAGCACCTGGGCCACCGAATACTGGTCAAGCTGCTGGCGCTGAAGTGAGTCCCGGGAAACCCCCCTGCGCTGCGTTCCGCTCAGCCACACGTGGGCACTGTGTGGCGGGTTGCGATGCGACCCCTATGGAGAGATTGTTGCGGTACAGGTGGCCATACAGTCATTACTGGTATTTATTCTCACCCGACTTGCTTTCTTTCCGGCTGTTGAGAAAAGACACTGCAAAACAGACACCAGTTCACACCGCCCCTCCCCACCCAATTCAGCCCCACGATGGCACCCCTCTTGTTGCGCAGCTGCCCCCACTCGCAGAAGCTCATTGCCCCCCAAGGGTCTCATCTAATCTTCTGAGGTGCTGTGCTCACCCTGAGGAGGCCTGGGGCCGTAGTGGTTGTGAGCTGGGCTGCCAACGCCAAGGCCAGCAGTTCGAAACCACCAGCCGCTCCAAGGGAGGACGCTGAGACTTCCGACTCCCGTGAGGAATGACACCCACAGGGGAGGCTCCACGCTGCTCCAGAGTCTCTGTGACGCAGTTTGCCTCCATGGCGGTGAGCTTCAGTGTGGTCTCGCTGAGCCTATAGACACCCAACAAATCTCAAACTCACTGCTCTTGAGCCAGCGCCGACTCACGGGACCCTGGGGGACAGGGTAGACCTGCCCTAGGAGTTCCCCAAACTCAGCCTTTTTATTATGATGATTATTATCATAATCCGTACACCCATCCATCGTGTCCAGCACCTTTGTACATGTGTTGCCATCATCATTCTCAAGGCATTTTCTTTCTGCTTGAGCCCTTGGTATCAGCTCCTCATTTTCCCCTCCTTCCTTCACAAACCCTTGATAATTTATAAGTTATTATTATTTTTTCATGTCTTGTCGTCTCCCTTCACCAACTTTTCTGTTGTCCTCCCCACAGGGAAGGGGTTATAGGTAGATCATTGTGATCAGTTCTCCATTTCTACCCCCACCTTCCCCTTAGCCTCCTAATATCGCTAATCTCATTATTGGTCCTGAGGGGTTTATCTGTCCTGGATTCCCTGTGTTTCCAGCTCTGATCTGTACCAGTGTACATGCTCTGGTCTAGCCAGATTGGTAAGGCAGAATTGGGGTCATGATAGTGGGGCACTTAACTACGATGCCACCAGGGCTCACGTGATCCCATACAGACAGCTCTGTGAAGAGTCCGGGGTTCAAGGTCAACCTCCTCTCCTGGTGAAGCTAGCCCCTCGCTGGGCTTCAGCAGACTGGAACGGGTGTGTATTTGGGGGGTCAGGTAACGGTGAAGCTATCTCGGGGTGCTCCAGCCTGTGTGCTAACAACCCTGCTCCCACGGAGCAGCTGGTGGATTTGAACTGCTGGCCTTGCAGTTAGCAGCCCACCTCTCCACCCTCTGCGCTCCCGGGCTCCCCAAGGGACTCCATAGCGCTGGATTGTTAACCGTGTGATTCTCACGGACAAGGAGTTAGCCAACGCAGCTGCGTCCATAACCACCCCTGGGACCAGGCCCTCACAGGACACGGAACGTTTGCTACGTGGCAGCCCCTGGATGTTCCTCTCTCTTCCCCACCAGGTTCGAGATTGAGATTGAGCCTCTGTTTGTCAGCCTCGCCCTGTATGACGTGAGAGAAAGGAAGAAGGTAAGAGATCTCTCACAGAGGCCACGGAGCAGCCACTGGGGAGGTGCTCAGACCCCCTGCGACCCCCCGACGTGTCCTGCGGGTTCACATGTGTGTAAGAAATGACTTTATACTAAGAAAGGCATTTGCATCCAGGAAGCAGTCGACCCCACCAGAGAGCAGGCATGTCCAGTCCAACCCAAGTCCGTGGGCCAGATGCTAGCTGCAGGCCAGCTGGATGAAACAGGACCACCACAGGCTGACAGGGGCAAAGTGGAGGGGATTCGAGGTCAACAGACAACTTGACAGCCACCCATAGTCCCCAGGGCCAGCAGACCACAGGGTGGCCGCCATCCCAGGAAGCCAGGTGCAGGATCCAGGTCAGCAGGGGGAGACCAAAGCCCATTCTGCACAGTGTCTCTTAGAGCAGTGGTTCTCACCCCTCGGCCCTTTCGTACAGTTCCTCATGTGGTGACGCCCCCCAACCATAAGATTATTTTCATTGCTACTTCATCATTGTCATTTTGCTACAGTTATGAATCTGGTGACCCCTGTGAAAGTGTTGTTCAAGCCCCACAGGGGTCGTGACCCACAGGTGGAGAACCACTGTCTTAGATCAGCTAGGTCACACACACACCCGTCCCCGGGGGCCGTTGTCAGGGTGTTTCCTGATTGAGAGTTTGGATCTTCTTACTGGGGCAGCCAACTCGACACATCACACCTGGGTCATCACTTCTGTGCAGCCAAGTCCCCTGAGGTCTGAAAGCCCGTGACTGTGGGTGAATGGTGTCTCTGGCCTGGGCACTTTGGGAAGGGTGCTCTGGGGACAGTGGTCATTTGTGTCCCTAGCTGAATCTGAAAGGGGAGGGCCTGTGGGAGGTGGTGTAGGGGGACGCTCAGAAGGACGTGGGGTCACCTGTGAAACAGAGCAGTGTGCTCCTGGCCAGGGAGGGTTTGGAGTGAGTAATGGCTCCCTGTCCTGGAAGCCACCCTCGGGGTCCACGTCTTCATTTGTTGCCGGGGAAAAGACCCCATTCACCCAGTGTGTCCTGCTTTTGAGCGAAAGAAATGCAGCCACCCAAGAATCCTCGTGAGTGCTCTTGTGGTTAGTGTCTGACCAAACTTACTGCCACCGAGGCGATCCCGGCTCAGGTCCTGGAAGACCGTGCCCTTCACAGGAGTATAAAGCTTCCTCTTTCCCCCGGGGAGCAGCCCAGCAAGTGACCGCTGTGCCACCAAGCCTCCTCTGTATGTCTTGACCCTGAACCATGTGGATTTCTGGGAACATGCGCCTGTGAGCAACCGCTGTGGGGCGATTAGCACCTCCCACAGAGGATCAGAAACCGCTGAGGTTTGTGTTAAAGACCCGCTGCCTCGAGCCCATTCTGCAGAACCATGCAGAGCTGCCCGCAGTTTCTGAGATTGTGCATCGTTCCGGGAGGACTACCTCAGCCTTGTCCTCCAGAGCCGCTGGCGGGTTTGAACTGCCAACCCCCCCAGGGCCAAGCCCGCAGCACCAGCAGGGCTCCTTAGAGAAGTCTCCGGCGCTCAGCGCATCACCGGTTCCCGGCCCGCTTCCAGGGCTTGGAAAGAGCAGGTCCGACTCCCCACATGGTACAAACAAGGCTGTACCTGACAACTTGTGGGCTGTTGACATCACCAGGAGAACTTAGGAAGAAAGGCCTGGCAGTTGTGGACACACCGGGGTTACTGTGGGCTGGGGTCGACTCCATGGAAACCAGTCAGGCTGCTTTGGGTGCTGTGGGGTGGGGCTTCGGACCGTGTTTCTCGGGTGCTGCCGCCGGGCTAGGGGTGGGCTGGGGGCGGGAGCCCTCGGAGAACCAGTCCCTTAGGGAATCTGAAGACCCAGGCTTGGCCCTGGAGTGGCATGGGTGCCTGGGAAACACTGGCTGGTTCGGGAAAATGCAAAAGCGCCCGGGATTGGCCGAGACTTGCAAATGCCGGGTAGAAATTGCGGCCAAGTAGCCACCGGGTTTCCCATAGCAACCTGTCAGTCACCTCATCTTTGATTAGACACCTCCTCCTCCTCCCTGTGGACACACCCTGTGTTTGTCCCTTGCTGAGACCAGGAGGGTGATGGGGTCCACTTCTCTGCCCCTCCAGATATCTGAGAATTTCCACTGTGACCTGAACTCGGACCAGCTCAGAGGGTTCCTGCGGGCACATACGCCGTCCGTGGCCACGTCCAGCCAAGCGAGATCGGCCGTCTTCTCCGTCACCTACCCCTCCTCAGACATCTACCTGGTGGTCAAGGTAGCTAACGGGGACCCCGGGGTGGGAACTCCGCTCTCCCCTGCTGGATTCTCTCGTGTTTGGGGTGACCACGATGTCTGAGAGGGCAACGCGTCCTCTGTGGGGGTCTCCTGCTTCCTTCCCCTGGCACCCCCCCTCCAAAAACAAACAAACAAACAAACAAACAAACAGCGAAGAACAGCCACTGACAGTGAGTTGCCCTGGGAGACCTCGCTCCGGACACACCAGACCCGAGTCTGACCCCGTGAGGCAGCTTAGCCAGTCAAGGGCTCTAGGGCATCGCCTAACCTCTGGGGAGATTGTTTCCTCATCTGGAAAGTGGGGCCAAGGACACCCAGCTCACCCGTTAAAGTGGGGAGAGGGACACCTGGCTCACACTGTCCAACACACAGCTATTAAGTCAATTCCGACTCACGGTGACCCCACAGGACAGAGTGGAAGAGCTCCTGAGAGTGCCCGCCCGAGACTGCAGATAGACCCCTTTCTCCGAGACCGCAGACAGATCCCTCTTTCTCCGAGACCGCAGACAGACCCCTTTCTCCGGCAGAGCGGCTGGTGGGCTCACACCACTGACTCTGTGGTTGGCAGCACAACACCCTGAGCCGAGCTCATCCCCGTTTCTTCCTTGTCAACCTGGTGCCCTACCTTAGTGACCATTGGTCAGGCAGATCCTTGACCCGAAGCTCAGCAGAAGAAGACCCCTGAGTGTTTAGAATCTGGTGTCCCGAGCCCTTGAGTTCTTCAATCCCATATTCCCAACACCCACCAGCCGGCAGCGAGAGAGGCTGTGGGTCCCTCTGCCTTGGGGTTCCTGCCAGGTCTGTTAAACCAAACGAGGCAGTCCCCCCATGACACAGAGGGCTCCAATTCCAGACACATCCTTTGGCTCGTGTGTGGGCATCTCGTGGAAGGTTTTGGTCAGCCCCCAACCCGGCTGTGAGAGGCCGGGTCTCTCTGTGGGGTTGTCATGTACAACATCAAGCAACCAGGGAAAGAAACGGACATGACACTTCTTCCTCTGACCGCCTTTTACTGTGGACATTCGGCGTGTTTATGGCTCAAGAGTAGGAAATGTTTCTCAGCACTGGGGGGGAGGTAAAAGCCACCCACCGCCCACCAGACGCAGTCGCTGCGGCTACAGGTGTTTGCTGCCATCACCATCCCTTTATTCATCCTTCACGGGTTCTACTTCTTCTCCGTGGGGCACTGTGCCTCATCCTCACGATTCTGTTCCCAGAAAGCCTGCCGAAGGCGTCACCGTCCCCTGCTGTCAGGTCGGGCCAGCGGGCCTCCTTGCGTGACTTGGACACAACGCAGGCCCCTTACCAGAACCTTCTTTTGTTGGCAGATTGAGAAGGTGCTCCAGCAGGGGGAGATTGGAGACTGTGCAGAACCCTACCTGGTCATCAGAGAGAGTGAGGGCGGAAAGGTACGCCTCTGAGCACGGGTAAATGGTGGCAGGCTAGGTAACCAAGTGCCCTCCGGAGCCTTCCGGAAGGTGGTCACTGGCAGGTGGTCCCTGCTACACCCGCAGATGAAAGCCTCGTATGTTGCTTTTTTTAAAAAAACATTTTATTAGGGGCTCATACAACTGTTATCGCAGTCCATACACACATCAATTGTGTAAAGTGCATTTGTACATCATTCTCAAAATATTTTCTCTCCACTTAAACCCCCGACATTAGGTCCTCATTTTCCCCCTCCCTCCCTGCTCCCCCCTCCCTCATGAGCCCTTGATAGTTTGTAAATTGGTATTTTGTCATATCTTGCCCTGTCCGACGACTCCCTTCACCCACTTTTCAGTTGTCCGTCCCCCAGGGAGGAGGTCACATGTAGTTCCTTGTAATCGCTTCCTTCTTTCCTACCCACTCTCCCTCCACTCTCCCTGTTTCGTACATTGCTTTTAAACGGAAGAAGAAAGGGAAGTTTGGTCATTGATGATGCAGTTAAACAAATCAGTTATTTAACTCACCCATGATGAAATGAGGAGTCCTGGGGGCATCGTGCTTATGCACTGGGCTACTAACCACAGGATCAGGAGTTCAAAACCACCAGCCGCTCTGAGGGAGCAAGATGAGGCTCTCTACTCCCGTAAAGAGCGGCAGTCTTGGAAACCCACAGGGGCCGTTCTACCCTGTCCTGTAGGGTCGCTGTGAGTCGGCGTCGCTGATGGCAGAGTGAGCTTTTGTTGAGAAGCTCAATTGTTCATTGCTCGTCTGACAACAGAACAGTGGCAGTTAGCCCATCCAGGGGCTCCGAGGGAGACAGACCTGGCCACCTGCCACCTGCTCTCAGAGAGGTGACAGTCAGGAACACTCGCTGCGGCAGCCTCACCTGTCACATGGGGCCACTGTGAGCTGACACGACCCAGGGGCACCCAGCAGCAACACGGTGATGCCCCGTGCCAGCGCGTCATGACGACGCTTGGTCAGGGCAAGTCTTGTCCCCTGGAGGCCCTGACCCAGCTAGCTGGGCGGCCAAGCAGACCTAGTGAGACTGCACCGTGCTGGGGCGCCCCTGCCTTCCTCAGCAGCACAGCCACCATTCTACCTCATTGGGATAGTGGCCAACCAGCTGCGTTACCGGCTGTGTGCTACCGGCTGCGTGCGGTGAAGCACTCAGCTGCTAAGCCCCCATGGCACCTCGGAAGAAAGGCCTGGTGACCACTTCCCAAATGCCCAAGCCGTGGAAACCCTGTGGGGTGGCCCCGCCCTTCCACACACAGGGTCGTGTGGACTGGTATCAATTCAACAGCAACTGATCTTTTGGGGAAGCGTGCACTGTAAGTTCATTAGCACAGCCTGGTATTAAAAAACCAAACCAGAGAATAAGGGGAAGGTTGGGGGAGAAGGGGGTAACCAATCACAATGATCTACCTAAAACCCCTTCCCTTGGGGACGGACAGCAGAAAAGTGGGTGAAGGGAGACATCGCTCAGTGTAAGACATGACAAAATAATAATAATTTATAAATGACCAAGGGTTCATGAGGGAAGAAGGGAGGGTAGGGGAGGAAGAAAAAACAAGGAGTTGATACCAAGGGCTCAAGTAGAAAGAAAATATTTGAAAATGATGATGGCAGCATATGTACAAATGTGCTTGACATGATGAATTTATGTATGGATTCTGATAAGAGCTGTGTGAGCCCCCAATAAAATGTTTTTTAAAAAAACAAACTCACTCCCTGAAGGGAGCCCTGGTGGCCCAGTGGCTTCAACACTGGACTGCTGACCACGTGGTTGGTGGTTCAACAAACTCACAAACACAACACTGGGTTAATGCTGACTCACAGTGACCCTGCAGGACAGGTAAACTGCCCCTGTGGGTTTCCAAAACCGTCACTCTTTTCGGTGGCAGACAGTCTCATCTTTCTCCTATGGAGTGACAGATGTATTTGAACCACTGACCTTGTGGTTCATGATTCATTGCATAACCCACTATGCCACCAGGTCTCTAACAACCAATAAAACAAAACTCTCTGCCATCGAGTCCGTGCAGACTCATAGCAACCCTGTGGCTTTCCAAGACAGTAACTGCTCACAGGAGTAGAAAGCCCAGTCGTTCTCCCTCGGAGCTGCTGGTGGTTTCAAACTGCCGACCGTGCAGATTGCAGCTCGACGCATAACACACACTACCAGGGCTTGTCAACGTGGGCATACGCACTGCCATCGAGTCAATTCTGGCTCAGAGCAACCCTGTAGGGCGGGAGAACTGCACTGTGGGTTTCCGAGACTGTAACTCTTTTTATCTTCTTAACTAATCCTTTTGTCTTGTTTTATTTCCTAAGTTGTCACTGTTGATGATGAACTTTGGAACAGACTATCACTCTTTATGGGAGGAGGAAGCCTCATGTTTCTCCCAAGGAATGGCTGGTGGTTTCCAACTCCTGACCTTTGGATTAGCAGGCCATCATGAACCGCCATGCCACCAGGTTCTCCAAGACGGGTGTGGCGCCAGGGAAAAGGGCCCCTTGGCTCAGCACCCACGCCTGCTGACACCTCTTTACACTCCCAGGAAGGCACTGAGCTTGTCAGCATCCTGAAGGGAGCCCTGGTGGCCCAGTGGCTTCAGCACTGGACTGCTGACCACGTGGTTGGTGGTTCAACCCCACCAGCCTCTCTGTGGGAGAAAGGGGAAGCTGTCTGTGCCCACAGATTGACAGCCCATGGTTCACAGACAGAGCTGCCCATGGGCTTCCCAAGGCTCTAGTTAATACTGGAGCATATCTCCCTGGGTGGGCTCGGACCTCCCTGGTTGCAGTGGTTGTGAGCTGGGCTGCGAACCGCAAGGTCAGAGGTGTGAAACCACCAGCCACTATGTGGGAGAAAGATGAGGCTTTCTGCTCAAAAAAAAGAGTTCAAAAAACCCAAACTGTCTACCATCGAGTCAACTCTGAAGGGCTGGGTACCACTGCCCCGTGAGACTTTCTCCTCCCGTGGAGAACCCATCTCAGGAGCCCACGGGGGCAGGTCTGTCCTGTAGGCTGGCTGTGACTCGGGTGGCATGAGTTAGCAGTTACCTTCTGCTTAGTAGCCGAGCAACGAACAATTGCGCCCCTGGGGGCTTCAGAGATGGGCAGCTGGGGCCACATCGGAGGCAATGATGGACTTGCTGTCCGCTTGGAGCAGTGGACTGTGCGACTGGACGGTGTCTCTCCATCTCTCCCCAGAACAAAGACAAGACTGAGAAGCTGAAGCTGCAGGCGGAGGCCTTCTGCCAGCGTCTGGGAAAGTACCGGATGCCCTTTGCCTGGGCGCCCCTGAGCCTGAACAGCTTCTCCAACATCTCCTCCCTCGACCGCGAGGGGCCTGACACAGAGGCTGCGGTCGGTGAGGTTCCCACCCTGCTTGCCAACTCCTCAGGGGGCTTGGGCGCCGCAGTGGCTCACTGGGGGGTTGGAGTGTGAATTTGCCCAGGGGTGCCGTGGAAGAAAGGCCTGGTTCCTTGCGTCTCTGACGAGCTGCAGCGCAAACGTGACGTGACGGCACACACTCTGCTCGGAAACACCAGGGGACGCCGTAGATCAGGCTCCACTTGGTGGCAACAGGCCTGGCTTCTTTGGGGTCCAGGTGGGGCACAGGGGACCGGAGGATTTGGGGAGTGAGAAGAAGGTGGTGGGAGGGAGGAAACAATGATTACTGAATGACAGCCCTGGTGGCGAAGCTGCTTAAGTGTTGGGCAGCTAACTGTAAAGCCCTCGGTTCAAAACCACCAGCCGCTCTGTGGGAGAAAAACAAGGTTTCTTTTTACTCCTGTAAAGAGTTAAACAAACGCACTGCCAATGAGTCAATCCTAACTCATGAAGACCCTGTAGGACATGACAGACCTGCCCCTGTGAGTTTCTGAGCCTGTAACTCTTTTTGTTGTTGTTGTTGTTCAAGGACTGTTTGATGGCCTTTAGGAGTGTTTTCCAGTCCAGTCTGTTGGGGTATCACGCCCTGGCCCCAAAGTCCACCTTCAGCATTCCCTGGGGACCTCGCCGCTCCGTTCCCTTGCTTTTCTGTTGCACCCCCTTAGTGTTTTGCCTCGGTATGGTGGGATCAGATCGGGCGCAATTCCCACACTGTGTCTCCGGTGTTGTCCCCTGTAGGACTATGGGTCAGTGAGGGACGTCATGTCTCATAGTGGAGCCGGCCATGTGGTCCTCCCTGTGGACTGCCTGCTCTGAGCGGGAACATCGATCTCAAGGCCTGGTGGGCCAGGATGTGCTCCAGTTTCTCCTCCTCCCCCTTCATCTGCTCCCGTGTGCTCTGATCAGACATGTCCCTCTCCCAGAGCTGCAGATTCAGTGGCGTCCTTGAAATAATTTCTTCTGGGGAGGGGGGCAGGTGAGACTGTAACACTTTACAACAGTTGAAAACCCTCTCCCTCAGAGCTGCGGGTGGCTTTGAACTGCGAACCTCACAGTTAACAGGCCCACACGTAGCTTGTGATGCCAAACCTGCAGGGCCGTTCTCCCAGCCCCACGGGGTGCCTGTGGTCGGGACTCCATGTCAGTGAGTGGTGAGTTTCATTGCCCAGTGGTCTGTCAAACCTTAGTGCACGCCGGCGGGGTTAGAACAGGCTCCTCTTTCCTAGCGAGCTGTCTGGATGGAACGTTCCGGATGGATTGGCAACAAGACATGTTGCCAATGTCAAATGTCAAATTCCTGACAATTACAAGATCATCAAGTATCCAATAAGCAGATCACCAACCCCTTTCTTCATGTTAAAAGCTTCCCTGGCCGGATTCCTAAACACAGGGAGAGCCAGCCGCCCCCAGGGTTTCAGAAACAAACCCTGCACTTACTGCCACATCCGCGGGCCAGACCCTCTCGGCTTCCTTGCCAAGGGCAATGAAAACACGGCACGGAGGAGAGCCCATCCCTCCCGCTGCAGAGTGGTAGCCACAGTCTCTGGATTAGACTTCAGCCTTGCTCGGAGCCTCATTTCCTCAGCAGCCTGGCCAGGGAGCTCCCCAGCCCACAGCCCCTGCACCACCTGAGCTTCAGTCTCAGACTGAACAGACTTCAGGCCTTGGCATCCCACCAACACTGGGCCTGGCTTTCTGATTCTCGGGTGTTCCTTGGCCCAGCCGTCTCCCGATGCCCGGGTTTCCCAGGGAAGGGGCCAAAGGGTGTTTGTTTTGTTGTTCTGATGGTATTCTAAAGTGCCTTGGTGGCAAAGTGGTTAGGTGTTGGGCTACTACAATCCGTAAGGTCAGCAGTTCAAAACCACCAGCCGCTTCATAGGAGAAAAAACGAGGCGTTCTACTCCCGTAAAGAGCTACAGTCCTGGAAGCCCACAGGGGCAGTTCCACCCTGTCCTGTAGGGTCGCTGCGAGTTGGCATCGAGTGGACGGCAGGGAGCTCTGAGCACTGGCATTCTGGAGGGACAGCCACCCAAAACCATGGCTGTTGAGTCAGTGCCAGCTCAGAGCAGCCCCGTAGGACAGAGTAGAACTGCCCCTGGGGTTTCCAGGGCTAGGATTTTATGCAAGCCTCATCTTTCTCCGTTAGGGCGGCTGGTGGGTTTGAACCCCCCGCCTTGTCAGTACCCGTGGAGTACAGATACCCGAGGAAAACTGGAGGTCAGAGGTATAAAGACTGACCCTCATGACCCACCTAGCCTGTCTGGGTCATAACCCCACAGTCCCGTAGGGAAGCTGTGGGCACCCCTCTCCCCGGCGGATTCATGTGTAGAAATAAAACAGGAGCAAACAGTACGCTGACCACAGAAACTACCTTTGGGAGACCCCATCCTGCTGCAGCCAGGACTCTGCTGGTGGTGCTCGGCCTGCGCTGGTGCCCACCTCCAGGAGCTGGGGCTGCTCATGGCCCTGCCTCTGATCAGAGCAGGATTAGATAGATGCCCATACAGAGAGAGGGAGAGGAGTGGGGGCAGGCACCGGGGCCTCCAGCAGGAGGGCCAGGATAGGCAGTGGCCAAAGGCTGGGGGGCGGGGGGGGCTTGTCCTTCAAATCACATGGCCACATGTAGCCGCCCTGTTCAATGACTCTGCTGCTGGCATCAGGTGCCAGCAAGTCAATTCCGGCCCCCAGCGGCCCTGTAGGACAGACTGGAGCTGCCCCGTGCCATGTCCCAGGCTCTACATCTTTATGGGAGCAGACAGCCTCGTCTTTTTCCTGCAGAGCAGCTGGTGGGTTTGAACTGTCCACCTCTCGGTGAGCGGCTGAGTGCTTAACCACTGTGCCACCAGGGTTCCCGGTCAACTCAAGGCTCAACTCCCTGCTGTCGCTCGACGCCGATGCACCGGGACCCCACAGGGCACAGTAGAGCGGGCCCCGGGGGTTTCCAAGACTGTTACCCTGCAGGGGTGGGCCACATCCCTGCACCCACTCCCAGACTACGACGAGCCACAGTGGCTGCTGGGAAGGAAACAAACTCCCTGCCATCGAGCTGACCCGACCCACAGTGACGACAGAGGACAGAGGACAGAACACGGCTGCCCCGATGGGTTTTATGAGACTGACAGTGGTTATGGGAGTAGAAAGCCTCCTCTTTCTCTCTCAGAGCCATTGGTGGTTTTGAACTGCTGGCCTGCTGTTAGCAGCCTGAAGCTTAACCCACTTGCCCACCAGGGTTCCTGGTGAAGTGTGCAAGCCAATTGCCATCAAGTTGGTTCTGACTCCTAGCGACCCCATGGGTCAGAGTAGAACTGTCCCCGTGGGCCATCTTTACAGGGGCAGAGGGCCACCTTGTTCACCCTCGAAGCGGCTGGGGGGTTCGAACCACTGGCCTTCCAGTTTGAAGGGGTGTGCTTCAGTACTGGTCCAACAGGCTTTCTCCTCAATGGGTGTCAACCTCTGCTCCGTGGGAGGGCTTCAAAAAGTTCATGGAAACGTGGAATTATAAGATAATGGGATTTTCCCATGAACTTTTCAAGGCGTCCTGGTGTGGGACAGACAGTCATGCTTGGTGCTCACTGAAAGGTCAGGGTGCAGCCTACCCTGGGGCACCGAGGAAGAAATGGCTAGTGAGCACCTTCTGATAAAAGCAGCCACCGCAGGGCTCAGGGGATGATGCATGTGGGGATACCGTGAGGCCGAGCTTGTCCACGGCCACTGCAGCCATGCGGGGAGCCCCATGTGGTTGGCCCCAGAGGGGGTGGTTATTATGTGATGGCCCCAGTGTGGGTGATCCCGGGGGGCGGGGTGGATACTTCTGTGGGTGGACCTGGTGTGGGGGTCCCAGCATGGGGGGGGGTCCCTGTGTGGATGGCCCCCATGTGCATGGTTGGCTGTAGCAGTGTGTCCAGGAGAAGGGCTTGCAGTGGGCTGAGCCTGTGTCCCGCAGGGAGAGGCCCCGGTGGCGGCGGCGAGCGGCGGACACTGTCGCAGTCCAGGAGGCTTTCAGAGCGCGCCCTGTCCTTGGAGGAAAACGGGTTCATGTCCAGCTTCAAAACCACCCCCTTGACCATCACCAACTTCTTCAAGCAGGTACGTCTCGCTGGCTGGCGGTGTGTCTGCGTCTGACCCCTTCGGGCGTGGCTGCTGGGCCTCTGGGGGCAGGCGGTGCAGGTGGTGACTCAGAGGGGGCTGGGGCTGGAAGCAGAGCCTCAATGTCAGTATGGGTGGCAGGGCTGTGGAAGGTGGGGGCGGGGTGTGGGGGATGGAGAAGGAGTGGTCACGAGAGGCCAGCCAGTCTCATGTCTACAGAAGTCCAAGTCCCAAGTCCCCTGCCAGCGAGTCTGTTCTGACTCATGGAGACCCTACAGGCAGAGCAGACCTGCTTCCTGGGTTTCCGAGGCTGTTCATCTTTATGGGAGCAGACAGCCTCCTCTTTCTCCCGTGGAGCGGCTGGTGGGTTTGAACCGCCAACCTAGCAATGAGCAGTATAACACTTAACCCATGGGGCCACCAGGTCTCCTTATGAAAGGACTGGCTAGGACACACACACACACACACACACACACACACACACACACACACAGAGCTTCAAGATAGGAGGCTTCCCAAAGCGAGGGTGCCCGTGGTCCGTCCACACTAACCACTGTCTCCCCTGGCAGGAAGGAGACCGCCTGAGTGATGAAGACTTGTTCAAGTTCCTGGCCGACTACAGAAGGTCTTCGTCCCTGCAGAGAAGGGTCAAGTCCATTCCAGGTGGGGATGCGGGTCTCTGTCCCCTAGCCATGTGCCAGGACCACAGATGCTTGGCTGGCTATTCTCTATCCCCCACCAGGGCATGGAAGCTCGCCTTTGCCATGGGAAACAGGGGGCTTCAGAATCTGGCTCGGGCTGCATCGCGACAAACCTGTTCACGTTCTTCGGGAGAAAGCCAAGGCTTTCTGCTCCCGTCAAGACGGACAGTCTGGGGAACCCACGGGGTGGTTCTGCGAGGCCCTGTGAGGCCGCTGTGAGTCAGAATTGACTCGGTGGCAGTGAGTGTGGCCTTGTTCCTGTTTCCCAACTTTTAAAGGCTACATGCTGATGGCTCTCCCCAACCAAGACCAGCCTTCAGATTGAGGCTGTTTGCACACACAAAAGAGAAACAAACTAACAAACTGGCCGACTTGCTCCCAATTTGTGGCCACCCCAGGGGTCCCTCACTGTCTCCGATGAGCTATTCTGTGAGGCCCAAGCGCAGAGCGGGATCACTGGAAGTCTGACCGGGAGGGCTCCATCCCTGTCCCTCAGCAGCCCCCCAGGGGACCAGCAGGCTGAGTTTGAAGCCCCCCTTGCCACAGGTGACAGCTGCTTCACCGTGTATTTATAGCGGCAGTTCTGGAAGGGACTTCGAAGGCCAGCCCTTGATTCCTGGCACTCCTCCCTGTGCCGTCTGTAGAATCCAGTGCCCTGCCTTTGCCTCACGCCAGAGAAGCCTGGGGACCCCCAGATCCAAGCACGACCCCCAGCCTAGACCCGTGCCCATAGTACAGCATGCAGCAGCCCCCGTCACATGGCAGGCAGAGCCCTCGCTAGCCCAGCGTGCTCCCCCGTGCCTACAGGACTGCTGAGACTGGAGGTCTCCCCGGCTCCCGACACGCTCCCCGGCTGCCTGACTCCGGAAATGCTGCCTGTGGCCCCTTCTTCTGAAAACCGGACGCGCCCGCACAAAGAGATCTTGGAATTCCCCATCCGGGAAGTCTATGTCCCCCACACTGTGTACAGGTAGGAGGCGAAGGCTCTTGGGAAATCTCCGT